GGTAGGGCAGCATTGTTGGACATTTCTGTCACTACCAGAAATCAGAAGGAATCAGCTGTCCCTAGCAACTTGTGTCTGAATGCATTTTGTTACACCAGTGAGTAACCTGCATGCTGTTCTTGAAAGGGAGGCATTTGTTAGATTAGATCTGGAAAGGGTCAGGGAGAGAGGCTACTTATCACTTAGTCCTCTTTTAGATTTAATCACATATTAAAGTGAGAACTTTGTTCTCTGCACATGCATCTCACACAATACTAGACAAGAGTATAGAAGCTGGAAATGCAACCCCCCCCGGGCTTATTTTAATGTAACTATTAATAATTTCATGTCATCAAAAATGAATATTCTGAGATAAATGTTAAACTGATCAAATTTTGGCCTGTTAAACCAAAATTATCCTAAGCAAGCAGGGCATGTGACTTCTCCTATCCATCCAGGTTACCCTTCTTGCACAGGGAAGAAGGTAGAAAGGAAATCTTGAGGGACAAATGAAAATTAATAAACAAAAGAGAGGAATTCAGGTCATCAGCATGTTAAAGAAATTGAATTGGGCTCCATGACCTTGAAACTTAGGGAAAAAGGTCCTAGAATAGTTATCATGTTATCAAGAACAGACAGTTGAAAGGACCCAACAGCAAGTTCACCTCTAAATTAATCCATTTTCCTCACACCTTAGACATCTCTTGCATTTTATAGATTGATTCAAACATGTACCTTGGAAATGCTAAGAAGGGCATATCTTCTGCCAAGCATCCATCCTCAAAGAGCAAAACACTTTAAGAGATCTCAGTGTTAATACAATTTACAACTTTGAAAGCACCAAATGTTTGGTTATTATTTGATTAGCATCCCCATTTCCAGAAAGCCCTTGTGATTTTTTTTCATCAGTTTCTGTTAGTCTTCTGTACCCTAAATTTCTTCCTTAGTTTCCAATCACTTACAGCAAGTCTGTTCATTCTCAGGCCTGAAATGATGAGCTTCATTAGAGCTGAAGAACATTGGAAAACCCTTACATTCAGAAAAAAATAAAACCTGTAATTTTACTCATCCTGGTATCATGATGTAAATAAGGCTTGTAGGTCAGAGCACACATCAGATACATGGTTCAAATCAAATTTGTTAGTGGTTACCACTACAATGAATATCTCTCTGCAACAAAAATGTTTCTGGGCCCCAGCCAGGAACCCACTTACACGAAGTCATATGTGATAAGGGCAAATGCCAATCCAGTGAACAAAGTTAGTTTGTCATAAAGAGATTTATGTATATCATTCAAGTAGTTTTAATCTGTATTCCTTTTGTAGTTCTTATTTAATGGTATCCATTTTCAGTTTCCACCAGAAGCCTGGGTTTACCAAAGGTCTTTAAGTTGAAAGTTATGGAAATGAAAATCATCCCTTCATGAAACCTAGGAATAGAATCTTTCAGTCTATCATAGCTGCCTATTGTTTGAAGAGATTGGCCTAAAAAAGGCCTTCTTAATAGTAGTATTCTATGTTTTTGATTCTAAAGAACTAAAAGGAAAATATTTTATACAAGTGAGGGATATGGCATATTAATAAAAATATTAACATATTAAAGTTGAAAGATCATATTCCTTTTTCACCTAAAATCATCAGAGGAAATTGGCTGTTAATTGTCATTATACTGAAATGGATTCAGATGTGTCATCTATAACTTGTATTGCTATTTATGTTAACAGTTTCCATGCGGTTGTTGTAAGTTCCTAAAAGGTGTCTAGCTGAGGTTCTTCTGTAAGTACAGAAAGCCTTCCTAGCAGCAGACCAAAAGAATCAACCTATGTCTGTAACATTTCCATGAGGCATGTCAAAATCAGCATTTCTCCAACCATCTTTCATGTCCAAAAACACAAGTAGGCATACAGCCTAAGCTCCCACACACAGCTTTAAAAGATCTCATTAAAAGAAAGGAAATTGTTTCCTTCTCTTTTGCTAAAAAGCTTTCTTTTAGTGACTTTTTAAAAATTCAATTGTAAAACAGCTTAACAGGCCAACCTAAATGAAAATCTTTACATATAGAGAGCTATTAGAGCATCAGTATATGGGGGAACAGGGATGGTTATGAGCCCTAGAAAAGGTTGTTTATCCTATTATTTAAATATCACAGAGAAGAATAGCAAAAGGCTATGAATGATTTTTTTCTCTCATTTGGAAGTTATTAGTAGACTTTCCTTTGTTCCATTGAGAAATGAGAGAAGAAAATATGAAGTTACAACGAACCCATATGGCCAGCAAGAAAATCCTATTTAATTGCTTTATTGCCAGAAATGTTAAATCACTTCCTGAGGATGCAGTTCAAATGAAACATATGGCAGCTATTAGCAAAAGCCCCTAATGAATTCAAAAATATGCTTTTTATGGGAACATTCTCGCAAGTAACAATCATACAATGTTATTTAAGCTATATATGCAAATATACATTGGATATTTTAATTCCAAAAACATTGATGAACACCTACTCTTTACCAGACTATATAGTCAGAATGTTTCTTTCTAAGCTCAGAGATAGATATTAACACTATAGGATATCAGGACATGGACCCAAATTTAGCCTTCTCAGAAGTCAAGGGCAAGAAGAATCTCCTGACCAATGCCTTCTTCCCAAGGGTTCAATGCCCAAGAAAACCATTCCATTTGTACCTGAGTAGTCCTGTGCCACACCAGCAATGGTACTAGGCATTGCCTTTCAGCATCCATTATGTGGGACTGTTTTGTTTTGTTTTGTTTTTGGTCTTTTCATGTATCTTCTTCAATTAGATTGTGAATTCCACAAAGAAGAAAACTTTGCTAAGGGTTTTTGTACCCAGGATAATGGAAGACATGTAATTAAGAATCAACAAGTAGCTTTAAGTAATTGAAAACCAAATCTCAGCCTTTTCTAGTTTTTTAAGTGCCTTTCATCTCTAGGAAATTTTATGAATCTAATCAATTTATTCATAAATTACTTTCTAGAAAGTCAAGTCTCCCTCAAATTCAAAGATAAATCAGCTGACAGATACCAGCTGTTATTATTATGTGGTTTTACTTTAAAAGAGAAGATATACAGCTGGGTGCAGGGGCTCATGCCTATAATCCTAGCACTCTGGGAGGCCGAGGCAGGAGGATCCCTTAAGCTCAGGAGTTTGAGACCAGCCTGAGCAAGAGCAAGACCCTGTTTCTACTAAAAATAGAAAAATTAGCTGGGTGTCTTGGTGTGCACCTTTAGTGGCAGCTACTTGGGAGGCTGAGGCAGGGGGATCACTTGAGCCCAGGAGTTTGAGGTTACAGTGAGCTATGATGATGCCACTGTACTCTACCCAGGATGACAGAGCAAGACTCTATCTCAAAAAAAAAAAAAAAGAGAGAGAGAGAGAAATTATGCAATTCTAGGCATATTAAATTTTGAGTATTCTTTCTCCAAATTGTACTGTTACCTTGGAAGTTATGTAATGCAACTGAGCTTTGGTAGTTTAAAGAATTGTGCAGAGCATGGTGAAATTCTAGAATAATTAGCATTGTCTACATGAAAATTTGGGTAAAAAGAGGCTAAAATATTTTTGCTTAATAACTCAACTCATTGCTTATCACTTATATTAAATATTTACTTACATGCGCTTGGTTACATACTTTTGTAATCAAATGAAGTATGGAAAAGGCCCATTTTTGTCACTGGTCAACTTGTGATTTGGGGCAAAACATTCAACTTGACTTAAATACCTTAGCTATAAAAAGCTAGAGTTTATTCAGATAATTTCTAAATGTCGATACAGGTATTCCTGCACAGATATTTTTATCCCGGGAAGAAGGGATAAATGATCCTCACTTTGGGATCTATACTATGGTTGGTGGTTGTCAGGTAAAAGGTGTCAGATCCCAAAGCTTTTGTAGCTTAGGAAGACTTATAAAAGCCTCCCAGTACAAGTTAATACCCTCCAAACCCTGCTAACTGTATTTTACACATGAATAACTGAGGTGAATGAAAACCAGAAATTCAACTTCCTTCATTTTTTTAGGGCAGCAGTCCCCGACCTTTTTGGCACCATTGGCTGGTTTCATGAAAGGGATGGGGAGAGGCTGTAAATACAGATGAAGCTTGGCTCCCTTGCCTGCCACTCACCTCCTGCTGTGCACCTCCCCCCGCGCCCCCCACACACACACACAAGTTTCATGGAAGACAATTTTTTCACAGACGATGGGGTGGGAAGGTAGGAGAAAGTGGTGAACGGTGGAGTTCTGCAACCTGGTCCCTAACAGGCAGGGCCTGGGTGTTGGGGACTGGGACCGCAGCTTTAGAGTATTCAAAAACAGTAGAACTAGACAGTTAAGCTTTAATTGCCTTGAAACATCTCATTCTGAATCCTATTTTAAAAATAATGATAGTGATAAATGCTGGAAATTAAACTTCTTAACCTTTCATATCAGTAAATTTACCTGCAAGACCAATACCCGTATTAATAAATAGTAAGAGCAGCTAGCTTTTTCCTGAGGATCTTGTATGCTTGATAGATGCCATTACATTTAGGTCTTTTAGTAAAAATATGAAGTAGATGTGATTATCCCAGCTTAATAAGGAGGAATCTGAGCCTTAAGAGATACCACAGGTCATTCAAGTGCACACAGAAAATAAGGGACAAGACAGGATTTAAAATGCCCAGAAACTGACCAGTTTGCTATTTCTGCCTCCCAAAAACGAGACAAAGAAATTTAACTACAAAATATCTACCCAAATTCAAAGAATGTTTTTAGACTCATTTACTGCCAATGTCTTGTAAAGATAATATAGGCATATGATAATTTGTCTTCAGACAAGAAAATACGTAATGTTTACAGTTATCACAGCAAGATCTAGTGACTTTTACTGAGAGTTCCAAGATGCTAATGTTTCTATTGTCAGGTTCAATTTAATTTTTGCTCTATTTATTGTACTTCATTTTATTCCTAATGATACTATTCGATGTTTCTTTCTAATAATAACACGATTTTGTGACTTTTCTTTCTCAGGCTATTCCAGGTATTTCAGAAAAGGAAAAAGCTGGTAAGTTGACAACTTTGTTGTTTTTCTGTCATCTATTTTAGAATAAAATTCCATCTGAAAGTATATTTCAGTAAATATCTAAAATTTATAAATATCATTGGGCAAATGTTATTATTGAATTGTTAAAAATAAGTTTGTTTTGCTCAAAACATAAGAAAAAGAAGTGTTGTTTTCTAACGTAGCATTACATTGTGTTTGAATAAGATGTATGCTTCTTGTGGCGTTACTTGTTACTGCAATCACAATTTTTGTTTTTAAAAATTGTAAGTAGAAGAATTAGATGTTGATCAATGTACTAGGAATGGTCTTTGGAAATCAGTTGTTAATGATAATCAAGATTTATTTTTTAATCTTAATGAACTCATTTGGTAGTCACAGAAAAAGATGTACTTGATATTTAAAACTGATGCTATATTATCAAAAATATAGCTATGAAGCAATAAGAATAATTGTATTGGCAAAACAAATTATAGTGTTTTTCTACAATCTGTTAAATTATAATTATTTAACAGCATTATGGGGAAATGGACAAGGACTCATGAGAAACATGAAAATTTGAAAAAATACACTTGGATTGGTAGAATTTGTACTTTTTAAAAATCTCTTTGTCTTTCTTAATATTGTCTTATGTATTCTGATAGATTAAAGGTACACTACCAAACTTGAAGCAGATCACTTAGACTGTAGACATTTGTGACTTTTAAGAGCCATATTGAAAGTTTATAGTATTATCTGAGCAACGACAACATGATTTCAAGTGTCTTTTCACTAGAGTATTAGAATTTGTCTGATAAGATTTTTAGAGTGGGATATTCGTTTTTTATTTCAATGATCTCATTTTTTCCTCTAGATTGTTTTCATATTTTGTGTCCTGTGAACTAAAATTTTCTTTCATGGTTAGACTACATCTGATTTCTTCATTCTAATGATATTGAAAGGTAACCCTTCAGAATAGAAAGAAAATATTGAACTGGCATCAGTTCAAGAGAAAAATTGCTTAACTTAACAATGTATTAGTATAAGGTTATATGGATTAATATAATAATTTCAAAGCTCCAATATCTTAAATAGATGGTGTTAGCTATCTAGAAAGGACAAGAAATAAATGGTTATGTGAGCATATGCACAGTAATGAAAATGAAATACAGCAAAAGTCATGTTTTATCTTGGGTTGTGACATTCTCTGTAATTCCCAAGATTTGCTGCATTTTAAACAAAGTATATATCAGAGCAAAATTGTCATCTTATTCCAGAATATCAGCAAATTCTTTCATACCTCAAAGAGTAAATTAGGATGTGAGTTCTTGCCTGGTTGGGAGGGGAAAGAAGAAATGGAAATGCCATTGCTTGAAGAGGCAGAGAGTTATCTTCTCCCTCTTACACTTAAAAGGCTTCAGTTTGATAGGGAAAAGCACTGCATTTTATCAAGCTTCTCAAATCTCTTGAAAATATTATTAAAACAAGGAACTAATTAAACAGAGAGCATAAATATAATGTAACAACCACTTTTTAATCATAATCCTGGAAATTTTCCTCCTTAAGAACAACAGCAGCAAAAACATGAAATTAGCTGTCTCTCTTTACTTAATCTATTTGGGTCATTTCTATACTTCTGGGGCACAAATTAAAAGAGTTAATAATAGAGTCAATTCAACTCTATAAGATTATCTGTGAAAAATAAGACCCACAAATTGATATATATGTCCTATCTACAACCCAGGCATCTCATATACTTAACAAGCCAGGATGGACTGACTTGAGCAGAACCTGGCTTTTCTTCTATATTAAAACATTAGAATGATTAGAATTTACTACAGAATGGATTTTGATTTTGATTTCTGGAGAATGTGCTGATACATTTAGGAGGAAATATAATTTTGTTTGCTAATATAAATACAACAAAGAAATGATTATTTTAAAGTCAGTGAATTTACCTGTCAAAACAAAGGCTCATGTTTGAATATTTTATGAATAATAACAGATTTGACAATTCAAAAGAGAATGTGATTTATTTCAAAAGTTTTAAAGGATTATAACAGTCTAAGTAATCTACTTCTTGTATTTCTAAACTTTATTACTCTCTATTTAAAATATTAAGAATATTTTGAGTGTTTTGTATACAGCTGTGAATCCCTTTATTCCTATTTTTATGAAACTCAGTTTTTAAGCTTCCACCAGACAGAGGAATGGGCATGAAGGCAAAGGGACCTACTCAATCTTCTGGGGGTTAATTGAGCTCTTAAATAGGATTAAGCTTCATACCCACCCCCTAAGGCCTGTCATTTTTTTTCTATGTTGCTAAATGAATGTGGCCTATTGTTCTTTATTAAGAAAGTCTATTTTTAATCTGTGTGACCTCTCATCCAAGCCAACTGGAACCAACTCTACCAGGCTTTGTGAGGCTCTAAACAAAATCATTATGGGTACATTCCATTAATCATTCTTGAATTGCAGTTGTGTGGTTCTCCCTGTGTGTGCTTTCAGTGGCTATCTTCTATTCCGATCTATGTTGCTATGTTAATACAGCCCAGTGGGATCAATTCTGCTGCTCCTCTCCCACCTTGTGATGACAAAAAAACTCCAAGGGGAAACAATTTTGAAACAGCCTCCCATGGATTCACGCATGCCATAAATACTTATTGAACAGCAACATGTTCTAGGCATTATATTAGGTTCTGTTGAAGAACCAATTATATGAATAAAGCATGGTCTCTGCCCTGAAGGAGCTCAAACTTTAGTTGGAGAGTATCCCAATCAGGCCAGCATCCTCCTTCTCTTCTCAGTTGAGAATTTCTTAGCCCACCTTATTCATAAAGCTTCCCAGGAAACGAATCAAATAAAAATCATCTTCAGAAAACTCTATCTGAATGTGCATTCTTAGGATCTGAAATAGAGTCATCCAATTTCTTTTTAAATTAATTAGAACTCATCATGCAAGTATCAATATGTATAATTGTATCCCGTACATAGCATTTTCATGTAACTTCCATTATGCCAGTGGAGTCTGGATGTCTTTGGCCCAAAGCCTTTGGTGTATTCTCCAGTACATCTGCTTCCTATCTGTGTGGCCTTGAGCAAGTTACTTAACTTCCTCATTTCCCTCATTGCTAGAATATAAATAAAGAATCTGCCATGTTGTTGTAAAGCAACAATGCTTGGCACAAAATAGGCCCTAGAAAGTGGTAGCTGTTTTTTATGATAAGTAGTTGTGCTTACAACCACTGTGTGTACAGGCCAAATAAACACTAGCTGTATTACTGCTGTCACAAGTCCTTAAAACGCTCCCTCAGGGCACCAAGTCACAGCTAAGCAGCTGTCCCTGTGGAAGAAGAAAGGGATCACTTTCTCTATGAATCTTCTGAGTGAGATAATTCAGACAAAGACTGTCATAGGATAGGCAGAGTTGGTCACATTTTAACCTCTCTGTAGAAATTCGTTTCTCTATTGGACTGAAATTTTTCATTCACTCCTGGGAATAGATATTTAATTTCCACAAAAGATTAGTCCCAGAGAGATGTATATGCTGCATCCCATTTTCCTATGACTCCATTATCTTCCCAGATCCCTGGTGCCTGGGACAATTGGATCCTATCTAACCCAGCAAGCCAGCCAGGTGCCTGGGTTCTCCTGCAGCTCTCACCTTCCCCCACCTCCTGCACACAATGCTGTTGACACTCTTCTGCCATCATCCCTTGTCGTTTCCTCCAGCTCTTTCCTTCGTGCAGAGATGCAATCTCCACTGGACTTTCCTTCCCAATAGCCTCCAGAACTGGTTTCCCTGCCTTAACCTATCATTACACCAGTCTACTCTCAACACTTCCACCAGAGGTGTCTTTGAAAAGCATGACATGATCACATCAATTCCTGCTCCAACATTTTCTCTATCTCCCTATTGCCTACGGGATAATATCAAACTTTCCTGTTTAAACATACTTGGCTATTTGTCATCTGGCTGTAGTGTCGATGTGTCTCTTTCACCCCTCAGATCCAGCCTCTGCCCTACTTTCTCCCTGGCTCTGTGATCTGGGAAGCTGACCAATGTGGACTGAATAAAAGGACTTCCCTCCTTTCTGCCTTCCCCACTCAGCCAGAGGGGACCTTAGCAGGAGACTGAGGGGTGGAAATAGTGCCAGTGAGGTTGGGAAATTCGTTCCTCAGCCGTGCAGAGTTGCTGCTGGTGTATCTCAGGCTGCCCTTTCCATGAAGTTTCCAGGTTCTGATGACCATTCCCTCCTCTTGCCCTGTAGTTTCCCCTTATATATAGTCTTGTTATTAAACTCCCTTCAATTCCCACAATGTGCCATTTGTTTCCCTCTGGGAGCCTTGCTGATCTACCTACCAACATTTTCTCTTCTTTCTATTCCTTTGGTTGTTTTTTTTTGGGGGGGGGAGGGGGGTTGGTTGGTTGGTTGATCTAACTATAGCCACCACATCCAACCATAAAACAGCCATAAAATCTTCTCTACCTCTGTATTTTTCTATGATACTTCGACCTAAATCTGTGGTATGCAGCTGGCACGTGATAATAGAGACAGAGATGGAGGTAGAGAGAAAGATGGTGTATTCAGAAAGAAAAAGAAATGAGAGCCATATTTTTCTTCACCCTAAATGAAAATAGTTTCATTTAATCCAATGGGAAATAAATACATCAACCATTATGACTTAGTTATCTGTATAATAGAAGCACGTAGTTTTGAAAATTACCATGCACTGCATTTTCGTCACTGAAATGTGCCTCTCTGGGCATATTTGAAAAATAGTGACAAAGAGTTATATGAAATATCTTATTCTAAAATTAAATTAAATAACACCTTACAGATTTTGTCAGGCTACATGGCAACTCATAGAAAACAGATCATTATCATTAGCCCACAACGGCATTTTTGTCTTCTCTCTGTCTTGAAAATCCTACTTGCTTCATTACATCCAACAATAATATCACTGCCTGAATGAATTCCTTCCCAGGCAGAGCAAGTCATTGATTATTCCATGTGCCTGAA